TCTACGCGGGCCTCTCACTGTTGTGGCCTCTCCCATTGCGGAGTACAGGCTCTGGACGCGCAGGCTCAGCGGCCACGGCTCACGGGCCCAGCTGCTCCGCGGCCTGTGGGATCTTCCCGGACCAGGGCACAAACCCGCGTCCCCTGCATCGGCAGGCGGACTCTCAACCACTGCGCCACCAGGGAAGCCCTGTTATCCCTATTTTATAGGAGAAGGAACTGGAGCCCAGAGAGCTACTTAACCACCAAAGATGTACTGCCCTCCAGTTCCTTGCTATCAGAGAAACCACGTGGTGAGCATCTTTTTACATTGTCCCGGAGAGAATGTGATGCTCTGAGTGCCTGCTGCTCCTCTACCTCTCTGATAAAGAAAGCAGGGGATCAGGTACCTGATCCCAGGGTGACCACTGCCTGCCCTGGGGACCAGCACCTGGTGAAAGGCAGCTTACTGACTGCAGTCCATGCCAGAACCCGGCACTGGAAATCCAGCAGACACCATTGTCATACTGGGCAGTGACTGGCCTAAACAGATCATTGCTCTTAGGAAGTCTGAATGCAAGATGGAACAGAGGTAGAGACACAGCCAGAGAGAGGGCAGCAGGGAAAAATCATGAAGAGGGGGCGAAGAAGGCAGAGAAGGGGGAGGGAGGAGGAGATGGGGGGGGGCAGGGGGAGGGAGAAAGAGGGAGAGATGGGGGTGTGGTCTGAAGCAGCAGTGAGAAGTACAGATAGAAGAGACTGCAAAGCTGGGTCCCAAGAATGGGGGTGGGGGTGACTAGTTAGGAGCCGAGGATAAAATGTCGTAGCTGCTTTGGGGACCCTGGAGTTGTGCCATCGTGAAGGGCGATGAGGCACAGCTGTAAGGCTGCCGAGACCATTTTCTGGGCCTCCTCCCCTCTCCATCCCTCCTCACAACTATCCCCCAGCTCCCGAGTGGCCAGCGTTGTCTCACATGCACACAGGTTCTTCAGGGCCTTCAAATTCTCCCTTCCTTCCTTCCTAAGGAACCCAGTGTGAACTGCTCTCCAAGTGGGTGACTCACCCCAAGGGGTACCACAGGGTATGGGAAGTAAAGATTCTAACTAATGTCTAATTAAGAAAAAAAAGAAATTAAATTTACCAATATACAACATCGTGACTGACAACAGAACACATATATCATTTATAAAGAAACATATATCATGAGGGTGTGAACTCAAAATGTTGCGCTAATAGGATACGTGATCAGAACAGTTAGTTGGGAGACCAGAGGTCTGGGAGAAAGGATGTAGGTTTTGGAGGAAACGTGGGCCTGGCGTCTAATCTTAGGTCAGTCACTTGCAAACTGTGTGGCCCTCAGCAACTTAATTGCCACCATTCTTGGTTTCCTGGTGTGTAAAACTGGGACCGCTGTGTCTGCCGCGCAGGTTGGTGTGAGGCTGGCTGGATATCACAGAGGGGCTGCTGCTCTCTTTCCTTACCTTGCCACTAAGGGGGTTTCTCTCAGCCTGGATCACATTGCCCACCATGTCATAGAAGTCCACCCCATTTGGAAGGTTGTTTGGCTTAGAGTCGTCAAACTGTGGATACTGGTACAGCTCTGCCAGCATATTTTTGTCTGCTGTTTTCTGAAGAAAAAAGCAGAATACGAAAATGGGGTCCATCATTTTGACAGTTTAAAACAATACAGTATCTGCTCCTTTTTATCATGGAGACAATATAACAACCTTATAGACAGAGTGTTTTATAGAGTGCGTTCATTATCCCAGCACCCCTTACCAAACACCTATATACGTTATTTCCACTTTCCTTTTCTGGCTTTGAGCACAAGTATACAAATATGTATATTACTTCAATCATTTTAGAACATGTATATGTACACACACACTTTTATGTCCTGCTTTATCCACTTAACTTTAGATTTTTCACGTTGTTACACTGTCTTCAAATTTATCATTTAAAATAATATATCTTGTTAACAAGACTGCTTTAATTTAACTACTCACCGATCACTGCAAATTAATATTATTTATTAGTAACTTGGAGCATACGGTTCACCCCTTTGGGGTTATTTATTTAGTATGAATTTCTCAAAATAGCACTATTAGATCAAAGGATACAACTATCCCTATGGTTCTTAACATATACATTAAATGGATTTTTAGAATAAAAATAAAATATGACTATAAAAAATGTAAAATTACAGAAAAGTAGAAAGAGGAAACCTATTACCACCACCCAAAGGCACCTACTGGAAACATTCTGAGGGACTGAGTTCCTCTCTAACTGGGCTATGGCCTTAACAATGGAAGAACTCAGTGATTAACTGCTTTGACTCTGAGTCAGATGTCAGCTCCCGCATTTACTAACTGTCCTGCCTTGGACAGGACATTTAAATGTGCTCAGCCACCATCATGGGTAGTATGACAGTTTCAGTGCAGACCGTCAACCATCGGGCTTTATGCTGTGTGGCTAAAAAGTGAAAAAAGGATAACGTGTTCCCCAGCATTTCAAGGTTTGAATACACACGAGCTGGGTAGTTAAAGAGCCAGCTTAGGAGGATCTTAACTGGGGCGGCTGTATGGCGGGGCCAGGCTGTGGTTGCAGAGGCAGCAGAGAGCCTGGCTGCAGGTCCGAGGATCTGAGAGGGAAGCAGGTCTCCGCCACTGAAAAGCTGACTGATGCTGGACACGTCCTCTGACTGTTCCCGACTGCCAGCGTCCCAGGCTATCTGCAGTGACCGACAAAACCAGCACTGCTGTGGGAATGGGCCCTGCGGAGCTGCGCAGCACAGTGGCTGTGTGAACTGAATCTGAACTCATTGTTTCTAAGGGCAAACATCTTCTGAGTTCTAAAAATAAACAGACAGGGGCTTCCCTGGTGGCGCAGTGGTTGAGAGTCCGCCTGCCGATGCAGGGAACACGGGTTCGTGCCCCGGTCCGGGAAGATCCCACATGCCGCGGAGCGGCTGGGCCTGTGGGCCATGGCTGCTGGGCCTGTGCGTCCGGAGCCTGTGCTCTGCAACGGGAGAGGCCACAACAGTGAGAGGCCCGCATACCGCCAAAAAAAATAAAATAAAAAAAAATAAAAAAAAAATAAACAGACAAATGACCTCTAGAACACTCCTCATTCTACCTTTTTGAGGCGTTATGAGAAATTCCAGCATTATTAAAATACTTTAAGATTCTCTAAAAAGGGAATTCTGCCATTTTCCTGTGTAATCACCATCCAGGTGCCAAGTATCCCCTCCCGGGGAATAAAATCTAGTCCATGCCCAGCAGAAACAGACCTAGCAATAGATCTCTTACCCTTCTGATAATGAAAGATTTGACATTCCTGGATTCTGAGCCTTTGCAAATACACTGAGATTTTCTTTCGCTCTTTTCTGCAGAAGTATGGAAGAAGAGAAATAGGATGTGAGTAACCACGGGGTCTGTCCACTGCTGTGTAGTAATCATACCTGTGATTTTTCATTCAACCTGAGCAGTCAGGTGACACGCACACTATTAGTCTCCCTAGATCCCACCTGGGTTGCTGACTTAATAAGATTCCCCTCATTTGATTAGACTGCTTGAGCCAGAGAAGCAGCCAGGAGGAGTAGATAAAACGTGGGCTTTGAAGTCAGGCTGGGGAGAATGAAGGACCTGCCGCGGACAAGCTGTGTGGCTTTCGGCAAGTTGTTCCCTTACCCCCAAGCCTATTCTCTCATCTATAAAACACTTTCTACGGCACCCACCTCACAGGTAGGGGGCATTAGGAACCTTTAACAGGGGGATACGTATGAAAGCACCTGGTGCAGTGTGTCCCGTACGGGTCGTCTGGAAATGGTGTTGTCCCTCCCGCCTTCCTTGCCCTATGCCAAGAAGTCAGATTAAAGGCTCTTTCAGAAGAGGCTAAAAATATCCTCATCTGAGACTCCAGACTCCTACTCAATTACATTTTAGATACTAAAAAACCAAACCCCACAAAAACGCCATCAAGGCTATGAGAAAGGAGTTTTGCCTCTGTCTCCCGAGCCGCCGCGACTTCTCTCTCCTTTTAAAGCCTTCTTCTCCATCTCATACTTCTCAATTGCCTTCAAAAACCAAAAAAGAAATGGGGTTTTGGGGGTTAGTGCAAATCTTAGAGGAGGGCAGGGGCCAGGGAGTAGGCCATTTCTCCTGCTGGTGTGCAAAAGGCCTGGAACAAAGTTCGTGGCAGGGCCTTACTGTCTCCCACTAGGTGGTAGGGCCTTGGTGGCCATCTGTGTCACTGACCTCATCCCCCTGAGTGTCACCACCGATATGTCCCCCACCCCCATGCTCTCTCACCTGCCCCTCCTCCTGGCTACGCTCCTGAGGAGTACAGGATTGGGAACAGGGTTCTGATCATCGCTCCACGGGTTACAAGCTACTGTTTGACCTCTGTAAAGGGGGATAATAATACCTGCCTCCCAGTGCTCTTAGAATTTAATACGCTTTAAAACACTAGCACAGAGGCTTTCAGATTGGAGCTGCTCAATAAAGGGTAACTATTATTATTATTAATCATCATACCCTTGACCTCTCAAGAGATTTCTCTTGATCTCTGACTCCTCTTACCCCCAGTCCTGCCAAAAAGGGAGGAAAGGAAAATGAATGTCAGTGACCCAGCAAGTTGTGCTGATTGTCAACCAGCCCAGCGTTGGGCTTGGGTAACAAAGTTAAAGTATGATTATGTCTTCACCACCCTCAAGGAATTTACAGTCTATTCAGAGAACCAAATAAACATACGTGGAACAATTAAGTCCTAAACTGCTATGTTTAGGATTCAAGGGAGAAGATCGGTATGGGCTGGAGCAGTCACAGAGGACTGGCCAGAAGTGGCGGGGCATGAGTGTTGGGAATAAGAGGGATGAGGCATCTCTCCTTAGCTTGATAAACCGTGAAATGCCCCTCCAGCCTGCCCCCACCTTTCTCCTGAACTGGCAGCCCCAGCCTGCACGATGAGCTAAAGGTACTGGAATGTACGCAGGTGTGTGTGCGTGTCAGGGAGTACACTAGAGAAGGCGTGATGGATGAATGAATCGGACGGGTGTGTGTCAATACAGCCGTGTCTTTGATACCTGCCAGGATGTCACTGTAGCTGACATTGTCAGGGCCCAGAAGGATGGACAAGATTTGCACAGAGAAAGAACAGAAAAGATAGTTGAACGCTGGAGGAAAAGCAAGTTTTAGGGCAAGAATGATGAGACCTGAGTTTGCATTTGAGACGTCAGAAGGATCTACAGGTGGGGCTATTCCCTGGGAAGGCAGCTCCCAAACCTGGCTGATGACCAGCCTTGCTGCGGAAGTATTCAGATATACAGATTCATTAGAATCTGGAATAAACATCCAATCCAAGGAGTCAACATCATTCCTTATCGGGTTCTGAATTGTTTATTTATTGTGGCCCCTGAGTTGTTCTCTATTTAAATTTAAAAAACAATAAATATTTTACATGGTACAAAATCAAATACGGTAAAAAGTCTCCTTCCTACTGCTCACCCAAGACCCTTAGTTTCTTGCACAGCTTTCTAGAGATATTCTGTACCTATTCAGATGAGAGCATACACAGCTCACAGGCGTGTACCTGGCTCTTTTCACTTTTAGTTTTTAAAAAGCTCCCAGGGGAGTCTGATGATCAGCTAGGTTTAGGTTATCACTGCTCTAGGTAGCTGGGAATATGAGACTGAAATATAGGTGAGAAGATAGAATTTGCAAACATATCATTCATTCCACGAATCTTCCCTGAGCACCTACTAAAAGCCAGGTGCTGGGCTGGTGTCCAAGAGAAGATGCAGCCGTGAGCAGTGAAGCCCGTCTCTGCCCTCCGAGGGCTCAGAGACTAGCAGGGAGAAGCCGGTGATTACGAGGTGATCGATGCTGCTGTGGGGAGGGACAGGATGCCAGAAGGGAGCCCCAAAGGGGCACCTACACTGATCTTGGGCCGAGGGTGCAGGGAAGGCCTTTCCAGAGGCAGTGGCCTATCGGGAGAGGAAGGAACACACCTACTGCTGGAGTGAATGGTGAAGCTGTGACGGTGGGTGAACGAGCTCCCAAAGGAAGGAGACTGGAAAGAAGAGCTAGGCAAGTTCATGGCCAAAGTCTGGGGGGGAGCCCACATTTAGGGCATGGGAGAAGGAATAGAAATAGGACATGGCTGTGGGGGAAGTTGGCGGGGGGTGTCTAGGTCTCAGAAGGAGGCGGCTCACTCATTTGCTAGTACAGCTATTAAACACTTCTTATGCACCAGGTACATGCTAGGTGCCGTGTGGTAGGGCAGCGTGGAGCCTGCCTATAGGTGCTGACGTGGGAGAAGCAGCCATACAGTCAAGGCCTGATGTATAAAGGGCAGGGCACACCGCAACCAGCAGAGGTTGGGCAGGGTAGCCCAGGGGTGGGCTCTGGTGGCAACAGGCAGCCAGCATCTGCCAGATCTGACCAGCTGCCTGCACAGAGGAGCAGGAAGGATGCTTCCTCCAGGTCACGTGAGGATCCACGATTGCTCCTGCCAGCCCTGCCCCTGTTCTGAGTGGCAATGAAGAACACCGAGGAGCTGTGCCGATGCTGGACAGCCTTGAAAAGCCACCAGATCCTGCTACTGGGAGGATAATCTCATTCATTTTCCTAGTTCTAAAGTTATCATTAAAAAAAACCACAGAACTGACATATAAATACATTCTTGCTGTAAAATACCCAAACATTACAGAAGTTGTCAGAGTAAAAACAGTTTACCCCCTTCCATCCCACTCCCTTTCCAGAACTGACTGCATCTGATATGCATCCTTCCAGACTTCTCCCCTACACATTTATACATATATAATGTCCTTCTTGTGGGCCAGGCACTGATCTAAGGGTTTTCAGGAGTCTTAACTTGTCCAGTTCTTTCAGAGATAATACATCTATGAGGTAGGTATGTTATTAATGTTATCACTATTTTACAGGAAACTGAGACTCATAAAGGTTAAATAATTTACCTAATGTCACAGTGTGAGAAAACAGTAAAGCAGAAGGAATTTAAACTCTGACAGTCTTATTTTGTGCCTCTGGTGCTATACCCTCATGCACACATACAGAGGTATAAGGCTTTTTACATGGAATCATTCCAAATAGCGTGTATGTCTATTTTGCTTTTATTTACAACTCAATTCTAGAATGTGTTCGACAGTGGGGTAGGGGAAACAGAAGCTCATGGTGTCCTTTCCACTTCAGTGAAGAATGCCTTTACTTCTGTGAAAAGCAACTTTACTATATTTACCAAAATTTTAAATTTCACTTCTAGGGCTCTAGCTTGCAGAAATATTTGCAAATGAGTCCCAAGATACATGTACAAAAATAGTCACATGTTCACTATGATGAAAATAGCACTGAAATACTTATTGATAGGGAAGAGTTAAATTACTTATGCCATACCCAACTTTTCAGATATTATGCAGCTACGAAAAGAATGGGATCAGTCAACAGCACTGACTTTGAAAAATCTCCAAGAGGTATTTATGCTAAAAATAAATAAATAAATAAGAAAAAAATAAAAGCAGCTTCCAAAACAATATTTATGGTATGATCCTGATTACATTAAAAAAGAAAACAATAACCCTAAATGTCCATATTGTATATTTCCAATGTATTTTTTTAAAGTTCTGGAAGGATACAGTAACCCTAAAAGAAAACAATAACTCTAAATGTCTATATTGTATATTTATAATGTATTTTTTTAAAGTTCTGGAAGGATACAATAACCGTAAAAGAAAACAATAACCCTAAATGTCTATATTGTATATTTCTAATGTATTTTTTAAAAGTTCTGGAAGGATACACACCACATAACTAGCAGTGGTTACTTCTAGGGAGGGATTTAGGGCTGGGAGGGAAAGTGACTTTCACTGTTTACTTACATACTTGTAGATACCTGAATACTTTAGAATAAGCATGCATTACCTTGCTATTTAAATTTTTTTTAATAAAAGAAAAAGATTGTTGACTCAAGAGCTAAACTGGCCCAAAGGTCAGTACTGGAAAAGCCGAGGTGAGGGTAAAGCTAAAAACTGTGGAGGCAGATCACCAGGTTCAGGACCCTGGGCCAGAGGAACTTGGTGGAGAGCAAGATGCCAGGTAGGAAGGGGTGAGGAGGTTTAGGTGGAGTGAACTGGCAGGAAGTAAAGGAGCAGGGTTAAGACAGACCGAAGAAGCAGAGAGAAGGGATGGGAGAGAAGGAGGGCCAGGGAGCATGGTGGACTGAAGATCAGGCCAAGTGAGAACCCACAGAGAAGGTCCTCCCAATCTACAGAACTGCACTGCCAACAAATGACTTGGGTTCTCATCTAGTCTGAGTCTCTTTCATTGTGTTTGGAGACGTAGTCAGTAACATAAATGAGTGAAGCCGGCCGAGCGTAAGACCATGTGGCAACCAACACTTTGCCTCCATATCAGGAGCGTCAGGGAGTGGTGGGGACTGTGGCGACCTGGAGACCTCACGCTCTGATAAGGAGAGTCACTGCTGTTCTGCTCCAGCTGATGACCCCACGTGGAAGTGCGGAGGAAACGTAACCATTCTTAAATATCCCATATAGCATTTTGTCTTCCCTCAGGAGACAATAATTTACCAGAGCCTAACCCACCTGGGGGAGGGGAAATACCCAATTCTAGCACCATTTAGCTACCTTGTCCCACCCAAGCGGGGGAAAAAAACTGAGAAGCAATGGTGAAGTCCAGCCCAGAGGTACCAAAGGTTCCTCAAAAGACTAAGACCCAACCATAGGACTACAGAACACTCCCCCCACAACCCTCACACCTACCACCACATCACTGAAGGCCTATTTACCACAGTTCCTTTTACCCAGTACGTCATACCTACCTTTCAACAAAAAATTACAAGGCATACTAAAAGGCAAAAGGCACAGTTTGAAGAGCATAAACAAGCATCAGAACCAGAGTCAGACATGGCAGAAATGTTCCACTTATCAGACCAGGAATTTTTTTAAATTATGATTAATATTCTAAGGGCTTTTACAGAGAAAGCAGGAAACATACAAGAACAGAAGGATAATGTAAACAGAGAATGAACATTCTAAGAAAGGGTCCAAAACAAATGCTAGAGGGGATTTCCCTGGTGGTCCAGTGGTTAAGACTTCGCCTTTCAATGCAGGGGGTGCAGTTCGATCCCTGGTTGGGGAGTTAAGATCCCACATGCCTCGTGGCCAAAAAAACAAAAACATAAAACAGAAGCAATATTGTAGCAAATTCAATAAAGACTTTAAAAATGGTCCACATCAAAAGAATCTTTGAAAAAAAAATGCTAGAGATCAAAAACACTGTAACAAAACAGAAGGATGCCTTTGACAGGCTCATTAGTTGACTAGACACGGCTGAGGAAAGAATCTGAGTTTGAGGAAATGACAATCGAAACTTCCAAAACAGAAAAGCAAAGAGAAAAAAAAAGACTGAACACCCCCCGAAACAGAACAGAATATCCAAGAACTATGGGAAAACTATTAAAAAGTGTAACATATGCATAATAGGAATACCAGAAGTAGAAGAAAGAGAGAAAAGAACAGAAGGAATATTTGAAGGAAAAAACGACTGGAAAATTTCCCAAATTAATGTCAGATACCAAAACACAGATCCAGGAAACTCAGATAACACCAAGTAGGATATATGCAAAAAACAAAAACAAAACCCAAAAAACTACACCTAGGTATTTCATATTCAAACTTTAGAAAATCAAAGATAAAAATCTTTAGGGACTTTCCTGGTGGTCCAGTGGGTAAGACCCTGTGCTCCCAATGAAGGGGGCCCGGGTTCAATCCCTGGTCGGGGAACTAGATCCCACACACATGCTGCAACTAAGAAGTCCGCATACTGAAACTAAAAGATCCCGCATACCACAATTAAAGATCCCACATGCGGCAACGAAGATCCCACGTGTTGCAACTAAGAGCTGGCTCAGGGCTTCCCTGGTGGCGCAGTGGTTGAGAGTCCGCCTGCCGATGTGGGGGGCGCGGGTTCGTTCCCTGGTCCAGGAGGATCCCACAGGCCGCAGAGCGGCTGGGCCTGTGACCCATGGCCGCTGAGCCTGCGTGTCCAGAGCCTGTGCTCTGCAAGGGGAGAGGCCACAACAGTGAGAGGCCCGTGTACTGCAAATAAATAAATAAATAAATAAAGAGCTGGCGCAGCCTAAATAAATATTTAAACAGAGACAAAAAAAAAAGAAACAAAAATCTTGAAAGAAGCCAGAGGGGGGAAAAATACCTTACCTATAAAAGAGCAAAGATAAGAATTACATCCAACTTCTCAGAAACCATGCAAGCAAGAGGAAAATGAAGTGAAATATTTAAAGTGTTAAGGAAATAAACCCTGCCAACCTGGAATCCTGTACTCTGCAAAATTACCCCTCAAAAGTGAAGGAGAAATGAAGGCTTTCTCAGGCAAAAGAAAACTGAGGGAATTTGTTGCCAGTACATCTGCCGTGAAGAAATGCTAAAAGAAGTTCTTTAGAGGGAAGGAAAATGATACAGGTCAGAAACTTGGATCTACATAAAGAAAGGAAGCGCATCAAAGAATGAATCAGTGAAAGTAAAATAAAAAATTTTGTTTTTTTATTCTTAACTGATCTAACAGATAGAAGTTTGTTCAAAATAATAGTAGCAATGTGTGTGTATATACATATACACACATACACAAGTGAAATGAAATGAATCATGGCAATGATACAAAAGACAGGAGGATGGAATTAGGAATATTTTATTATTATAAAGTATTTGCATTACCCGTGAAGTGGTATAGTAATATTTGAATGTAGACTTAGATTAGTTGTAAATGTATATTTTAAACTCTAGGGCAACCACTAAACAAAGTACAAAAAGTACAAAAAGAAGTATGATTGATATGCTAAGAAAGGAGAGAGAATAAAATCACATAAAATGCTCAATTAAAACCACAAAAGGCAGAAAAAGTTTGGAAGACAAAAGTAGGAAAAAAGGGGACTTCCCTGGTGGTCCAGTGGTTAAGAATCTGCCTTCCGGTGCAGGGGACGTGGGTTCGATCACTGGTCGGGGAACTAGGATCCCACACGTCGCGGGGAAACTAAGCCCACACACCGCAACCACTGAGCCCATGTACCATAACTAGAGAGAAGCCCACGCGCCACAACAAAAAGCCAGGGTGCTGCAAGTAAGACCTGACACAGCCAAAAAATAAAAATAAATTAAAAATAAATAAATATATTAAAACATAGGAACAAAGAACAGGCCAACAGGACATTTGGCCAATAGAAAACAGAACAAATACGGTAGATATTAATCCAACTATATCAATAATCACTTTAAACATGAAAGGTCTAAATATGCCAATTAAAAGACAGAGATTGTCAGAGTAAATCCAAAAACAAGATCCGAAATACTCTGTCTATAAGAAACCCATTTTAAATATAAATAAATATATAGATTAGATGTAAAGGGATGAAGAAAGATATACCATACAAACACTAATTAAAAAAAAAGTATATTTCACTTAGAGCAGACTTCAGGTCCAGGAAAGTTATCAGGGATAAAGAGGGGCATTATATAATGATAAAGGGGTCAATACACCAAGAAGACTTAACAATCTTAATGTGTATGTGCTTAACAACAGAGCATCAAAATACATGAGGCAAAAAAAGAATTGCATGGACAATGAATCCACTGATGAATCTACTATAATAGTTAGAGACTTTAATACTCCTGTTAGAAAGGGACAGATCCTGCAGACAGAAAATTAGTAAGAAAATAGCTGAACTCAACAACATCATCAATCAACTGGATATGTGCCCTTTCCTATAACCAACAATGAACAAGTGGAATTTGAAATTAAAAACACAATACCATTTATATTAACAAAAAAATGAAATACATAGGTATAAATCTAATAAAATATGTACAAGATCAAAATAAGAAAAACGACAAAACTGATGAAATAAATTAAACAACTAAATAAATGGAGGTATTCCATGTTCACAGATGGAAAGGCTCAAGATTGTCAAGATGTCAGTTCTTCCCAACTTGATCGATGCAGTCCCAACCAAAATCCCAGCAACTGGGTTGCCCTGGCGGCGCAGTGGTTGAGAGTCCACCTGCCGATGCAGGGGACACGGGTTTGTGCCCCGGTCCGGGAAGATCCCACATGCTGCGGAGCGGCTGGGCCCATGAGCCATGGCCGCTGAGCCTGCGCATCCAGAGCCTGTGCTCCGCAACGGGAGAGGCCACAACAATGAGAGGCCCGCATACTGCCAAAAAAAAAAAAAAAAAAATCCCAGCAATTTATCTGTCAATATTGACAAACTAATTCTAAACTTTACATGGAGAAGTAAAAGACCCAGAATAGCAAACCCAGCATTGAAGGAGAACTGACACTACTTGACTTCAAGACTTACTTACTATAAAACTACAGTAATCAAGACAGCGTGGCATTGGCCAAAAAAACAGACAAATAGATCAATGGAAAAGAATAGAGAGTCCAGAAATAGACCCACATAAACAAAGTCAATTGATCTTTGACAAAGAGGCAAAGGCAATACAATGGAGCAAAGATAGACTTTTCAACAAATGGTGCTCGAACAACTGAACATCCAAACGCAAAATAACGAACCTAGACACAGACCTTACATCTTTCACAAAAATTAAGTCAAAATGGATAACAGACCTAAATATAAAACTCCTAGAAGATAACCTAGATGAGAAAACCGAGATGACCCTGGGTTTCGCAATGACTTTTTAGATACAACATCAGAGGCATGATCCATGAAAGAAATAAATGATAAGCTGGACTTCATTAAAACTTAAAACTTCTGCTCTGCAAAGGACAATGTCAAGAGAAAAAGAAGACCAGCCACAGACTGGAGAGAATATTAGCAAGAGATACATTTGATAAAGGACTATTATCTAAAATATACAAAGAAATCTTAAAACCCAACAATAAGAAAACAAACAAACGCCTCAACAGACACCTCACCAAACAAGATATACAGATGGCAAATAAGCATATAAAAAGATGTTTAATATCACGTTATTAGAGAACTGCAAATTAAAACAACGAGATATCACAGTATACTGGTTAGGATGGCCAAAATCCCAACACTGACAACACCAAATGCTGATGAGGATGTAGAGCAAGAGGAACTCTCATTCACTGCTGGTGGGAATGCAAAAGGGCACAGCCACTTTGGGACACAATTTGGCAGTTTCTTACTATACTAAACATACTCTTACCATATGGTCCAGGATTCATGTTCCTTGGTATTTACCCAAATGAACTGAAAATATATGTCCACACAAAACCCTGCATATGAATGTTTATAGAAGCTTTATTCAAAGTTGCCAAAACTCAGAAGCAACCAACATGCCCCTCAGTAGGTTAACAGATAAATAAACTGCGGACATCCAAACAACAGAATACTATTCAGCGCAAAAAAGTAATGAGCTATCAAGCCATGAAAAGACATGGAGAAAGCTTAAAGACATATTACTAAGTAAAAGAAACCAATCTGAAAAGGTTACATACTTTATGATTCCAACTCTATGACATTCTGGAAAAGGTGAAACTAAGGAGATAGCAAAAGATCAGTGGTTGCCAATGACTGGGGGGAGAGAGGGATGAATAGCAGCACAGAGGATTTTTAGGGCAGTGAAACTATTCCGTATAATACTATAAGGGTGGACACATATCATTATACATTTGTCCAAACTCATAGAATGTACAGCACAAGGAGAGAAACCTAATGTAAACATGGGCTTTGGGTGAATGTGATGTGTCAATTTAGGTTCATCAATTATAATAAATGTTCCACTCTGGTGATGGGGAGGTTGTGCATGTGTGGGGACAGGGAGGGGTATGTGGGAACTCCATACTTTCAGCTCAATTTTGCTATGAACCTAGAACTTCTCTAAGAATAAAGTTTATTAATTTTAAAAATATATCTTTGAGACTTCTATTGTGCAAATGTGCTTTCAAATAAGTAGATGGGCCCCTAGGGCCCTTCCTTGCTGGAAGCCTTGCCTCAGCACACATAACTTACCAGGCTGTGCACCAACAGGCTGGGACTCAGATCTGTCTCAGCAATCCCTTGGTTTACCTGCTGTATGGAGCCAGTGCAGCAGGCTGGGAGGTGAGTCTGTTAAGGAAACTTTCTGGGTGATGACTACACACAAATAGAACAGGATGGGGCGAGCCTGTAATGAAAAGCAGCTCACTGCCTTTCTGTGCTGTCTTCCCCCACCCCACAGTTCATTTATTTATTTATTTTTTAAACTTAAATTTTAATTTATTTTTTTATACAGCAGTTTTTTGTTTTTGTTTTTTTTTGCGCTACGCAGGCCTCTCACTGTTGTGGCCTCTCCCGCTGCGGAGCACAGACTCCGGACGCGCAGGCTCAGCGGCCATGGTTCACAGGCCCAGCTGCTCCGCGGCATGTGGGATCTTCCCAGACCCGGGCACAAACCCGCGTCCCCTGCATCGGCAGACGGACTCTCAACCACTGCGCCACCAGAGAAGCCCGCAGGTTTTTATTAGTCATCAATTTTATACACATCAGTGTATACATGTCAATCCCAGTTGGCGCAACTCATCACACCACCACCCGCAACACCCCCCCCACCACCACTTTATCCCCTTGGTGTCCATACGTTAGTTCTCTACAGGTGTCTCAATTTCTGCCCTGCAAACTGGTTCATCTGTACCATTTTTCTAGGTTCCCCATATATGCGTTAATATACAATATTTGTTTTTCTCTCTCTGACTTACTTTACTCTGTATGACAGTCTCTAAATCCATCCACGCCTCAACAAATGACCCAATTTCGTTCCTTTTTATGGCTGAGTAATATTCCATTGTATATATGTACCACATCTTCTTTATCCATTCGTCTGTCGATGGGCATTTAGGTTGCTTCCATGACCTGGCTACTGTAAATAGTGCTGCAATGAACATTGAGGTACATGTGCTTTTTTGAATTATGGTTTTCTCTGGGTATATACCCAGTAGTGGGATTTCTGGATCATATGGTAATTTTATTTTTAGTTTTTTAAGGAACCTCCATAATATTCTCCATAGTGACTGTATCAATTTACATTCCCACCAACAGTGCAAGAGGGTTCCCTTTTCTCCACACCCTCTCCAGCATTTGTTATTTGTAGATTTTCTGATGACGCCCATTCTAACTGGTGTGAGGTGGTACCTCATTGCAGTTTTGATTTGCATTCCTCTAATAATTAGTGATGTTGAGCAGCTTTTCATGTGCCTCCTGGCCATCTGTATGTCTTCTTTGAAGAAATGTCTATTTAGGTCATCTGCTCATTTTCGGATTGGGTTGTTTGTTTTTTTTAATATTGAGCTGCATGAGCTCTTTATATATTTTGGAGATTGATCCTGTATCCGTTGATTCGTTTGCAAATATTTTTTCCCATTCTGAGGGTTGTCTTTTTGTCTTGTTTATTGTCTTCTTTGCTGTGCAAAAGCTTTGAACTTTCATTAGGTCCCATTTGTTTATTTTTGTTTTTATTTCCATTACTCTAGGATGTGGATCAAAAAAGATCTTGCTGTGATTTATGTCAAAGAGTGTGCTTCCTATGTGTTCCTCTAAGAGTTTTATAGTGTCCAGTCTTACATTTATGTGTCTAATCCATTTTGAGTTTATTTTTGTGTATGGTGTTAGGGAGTATTCTAATTTCATTCTTTTACATGTAGCTGTCTAGTTTTCCCAGTACCACTTATTGAAGACACTGTCTTTTCTCCATTGTATATCCTTGCCTCCTTTGTCATAGATTAGTTGACCATACGTGTGTGGGGGTTATCTCTGGGCTTTCTATCTTGTTCCATTGACTTATGTTTCTGTTTCTGTGCCAGTACCATATTGTCTTGATTAGTGAAGCTTTGTAGTATAGTCTGAAGTGAGTGAGTCTGATTTCTCCAGCTCTGTTTTTTTCCCACAAGACTGCTTTGGCTATTCGGGGTCTTTTGTGTCTCCATACAAATTTTAAGATTTTTTGTTCTAGTTCCATAAAAAGTGCCATTGGTAATTTGATAGGGATTGTATTGAAATCTCTAGATTGCTTTGGGTGGTACAGTCATTTTCACAATATTGATTCTTCCAATCCAAGAACATGGTATATCTCTCCATCTCTTGGTATCATCTTTAATTTCTTTCATCAGTGTCTCGTACTTTTCTGCATACCGGTCTTTTGTCTCCCTAGGTAGGTTTATTCCTAGGTATTTTATTCTTTTTGTTGCAATTGTAAATGGGAGTGTTTCCTTAATTTCTCTTTCAGATTTTTCATCATTAGTGTATATAGGAATGCAAGAGATTTCTGTGCATTAATTTTGTAAACTGCAACTTTACCAAATTCATTGATTAGCTCTAGTAGTTTTCTGGTGGCATCTTTAGGATTCTCTACGTATAGTGTCATATCATCTGCAAACAGTGACAGTTTTACTTCTTCTTTTCCAATTTGTATTCCTTTTATTTCTTTTTCTTCTCTGATTGCTGTGGTTAGGACTTCCAAAACTATGTTGAATAATAGTGGTGACAGTGGACATCCTTGTCTCGTTCCTGATCTTAGAGGAAATGCTTTCAGTTTTTCACCATTGAGAATGATGTTTGCTGTGGGTTTGTCATATATGGCCTTTATTATGTTGAGGTAGGTCCCCTCTATGCTCACTTTCTGGAGAGTTTTATTCATAAATGGGTGTTGAATTTTGTCAGAAGCTTTTTCTGCATCGATTGAGATGATCATATGGTATTTATTCTTCAATTTCTTAAATATGGTGTATCACATTGATCTGCATATATTGAAGAACGCTTGCATCCCTGGAATAAATCCCACTTGATCATGGTGTATGATCCTTTTAATGTGTTGTTGGATTCTGTTTGCTAGTATTTTGTTGAGGATTTTTGCATCTATGTTCATCAGTGATATTAGCCTGTAGTTTTCTTTTTTTGTGACATCTTTGTCTGGTTTTGGTATCAGGGTGATGGTGGCCTCATAGAATGAGTTTGGGAGTGTTCCTTCCTCTGCTTTTTTTGAAAGAGTTTGAGAAGGATGGGTGTTAGCTCTTCTCTAAATGTTTGATACAATTCACCTGTGAAGCCATCTGGTCCTGGACTTTTGTTCATTGAAAGATTTTTAATCACATTTTCAATTTCATTACTTGTGATCGGTCTGTTCATATTTTCTATTTCTTCCTGGTTCAGTCTTGGAAGGTTATACCTTTCTAAGAATTTGTCCATTTCTTCCGGATGGTCCATTTTATTGGCATAGAGTTGCTTGTAGTAGTCTCTTAGGATGCTTTGTATTTCTGTGGTGTCTGTTGTAACTTCTCCTTTTTCATTTCTAAGTTTATTGATTTGAGTGCTCTCCTTGTTTTTCTTGATGAATCTGGCTAATGGTTTATCAACTTTGCTTATCTTCTCAAAGAACCAGCTTTTATTGATCTTTGCTATTGTTTTCTTTGTTTCTATTTCATTTATTTCTGCTCTGATCTTTATGATTTCTTTCCTTCTGCTAACTTTGGGTTTTGTTTGTTCTTCTTTAGTTCCTTTAGGTGTAAGCTTGGATTGATCCCTTGATCATTATGTAGTGTCCTTCCTTGTCTCTTGTAACATTCTTTATTTTAAAGTCTATTTTATCTGATATGAGTATTGCTACTCCAGCTTTCTTTTGATTTCCATTTGCATGGAATATCTTTTTCCATCCCCTCACTTTCAGTCTGTATGTGTTCCTAGGTCTAAAGTGGGTCTCTTGTAGACAGCATATAGATGGGTCTTGTTTTTGTATCCATTCAGCAAGCCTGTGTCTTTTGGTTGGAGCATTTAATCCATTCACGTTTAAGGTAATTATCGATATGTATCTTCCTATGACCATTTTCTTAATTGTTTTGGGTTTGTTTTTGTAGGTCCTTTTCTTCTCTTGTGTTTCCCACTTAGAGAATTTCCTTTAGCATTTGTTGTACAGCTGGTTTGGTGGTGCTGAATTCTCTTAGCTTTTGCTTGTCTGTAAAGCTTTTGATTTCTCCATCGAATCTGAATGAGATTCTTGCCGGGTAGAATAATCTTCATTGTAGGTTCTTCCCTTTTATCACTTTATATCATGCCACTCCCTTCTGGCTTGTAGAGTTTCTGCTGAGAAATCAGCTGTTAACCTTATGGGAGTTCCCTTGTATGTTATTTGTTGTTTTACCCTTGCTGCTTTCAATAAGTTTTTCTTTGTCTTTAATTTTTGCCAATTTGATTACTATGTGTCTTGGTGTGTTTCTCCTTGGGTTTATCTTGTATGGGACTCTCTGCACTTCCTGGACTTGGGTGGCTATTTCCTTTCCCATGTTAGGGAAGTTTTCGACTATAATCTCTTCAAATATTTTCTCTGGTCCTTTCTTTCTCTCTTCTCCTTCTGGGACCCCTATAACGTGAGTGTTGTTGCGTTTAATGTTGTCCCAGAGGTCTCTGAGGCTGTCTTCATTTCTTTTCATTCTTTTTTCTCTATTCTGTTCAGCAGTGAATTCCACCGTTCTGTCTTCCAGATTCCTTATCTGTTCTTCTGCTTCAGTTATTCTGCTGTTGATTCCTTCTAGTGTAGTTTTCATTTCAGTTATTGTATTGTTCATCTCTGTTTGTTTGTTCTTTAATTCTTCTAGATCTTTGTTAAACATTTCTTGCATCTTCTCAATCTTTGCCTCCATCTTTTTCCGAGGTCCTGGATCATCTTCACTACCATTATTCTGAATTATTTTTCTGGAAGGTTGCCTATCTCCACTTCATTTAGTTGTTTTTCTGGGGTTTTATCTTGTTCCTTCATCTGGTACATAGCCCTCTGCCTTTTCATCTTGTCTATCTTTCTGTGAATGTGGTTTTTGTTCCACAGGCTGCAGGACTGTAGTTCTTTTTGCTTCTGCTGTCTGCCCTCTGGTGGATGAGGCTATCTAAGAGGCTTGTGCAAGTTTCCTGATGGGAGGGACTGGTGGTGGGTAGAGCTGACTGTTGCTCTGGTGGGCAGAGCTCAGCAAAACTTTAATCCGATTGACTGCTGATGGGTGGGGCTGGATTCCCTCCCTGTTGGTTGTTTGGCCCGAGGCAACCCAACACTGGAGCCTACCTGGGGTCTTTGGTGGGTTAATGGTGGACTCTGGGAGGGCTCACGCCAAGGAGTACTTCCCAGAACTTCTGCTGCCAGTGTCCTTGTCCCCCCAGTGAGCCACAGCCACCCCTGCCTCTGCAGGAGACCCTCCAACACTAGCAGGTAGGTCTGGTTCAGTCTCCCCTGGGGTCACTGCTCCTTCCCCTGGGTCTCAATGCTCACACTACTTTGTGTGTGCCTTCCAAGAGCAGGGTCTCTGTTTCCCCCAGTCCTGTCAAAGTCCTGCAATCAAATCCCACTAGCCTTCAGTGTCTGATTCTCTAGGAATTCCTCCTCCCGTTGCCGGACCCGCAGGTTGGGAAGCCTGACATGGGGCTCAGAACTTTCACTCCAGTGGGTGGACTTCTGTGGTATAATTGTTCTCCAGTCTGTGAGTCACCCACCCAGCAGTTATGGGATTTGATTTTATTGTGATTGTGCCCCTCCTACCATCTCATTGTGGCTTCTCCTTTGTCTTTGGATGTGGGGTATCTTTTTGGTGAGTTCCAGTGTCCTCCTGTCGATGACTGTCCAGCAGCCCGTTGTGAGCTTGGTGTTCTCACAAGAGGCAGTGAGAGCACGTCCTTCTACTCTGACATCTTGGTTCAGGGCCTTCTGTGCTGTCTTTTCACTTAATTATTTTCTCTGCAAACATTCACACTTCTTTTATCTTGTGTTAAATGAGTTTCTTTATAAATTATAAACAAAAATTAACCATATTCTAGACACCTGGAAAATATAAAAAGAATCACCCATTACACTACCACCCTAACAACTTGTTAGGTTTTTGGGAGACTTCCTTCTAGCATTATGATATACACACTTTTTACATAACTATAATATCAGTGGATGCCGATTTTACTACTCTGACTTCTCTCCTACTCATTATTATGATTATTTTCCATAAAGCTAAATAATCTTCATAATATTTTAAATGGCAGAATACAAATCCATTTAGAGAATGCATCTTAATAGACTTAACTGTACCTTGGCTATTGAATATTTAAGTTGTTTATAATTGTTTTACAAGTACAGATAATGCTGTGATGCACACAGTCACACAGAGAGCTGTTTCCTTCAGGTGAAGGATGCCTGGGTCCAAGGGCATCTCAACCTTGTTTATCACTGTTGAAATCGCTGCTCAGTTCAATGCATCCTCTTACTACCCTCTCTACGTTTGCATTTCTTTCTGTCTTAGCCTCAACTGGTCTAGGATATATCCTTTGTAAAAGCCCCATAATCCTACCACTCCTCACTGCCTTCACATATAGCAAGGTTCACTGTTACTTCCATTACCCTCAAGTGTTCTTACAAATCGGAGGGTACTTGACAAATGGAGATGCCAAGGAGGGACATGACAAATCATAGGAAGTGAAACGGATTACTTAGGTTGAGATAAGTGTAGGATTAAGAAGAAAGAGGGTACATTAGAAAAAGGCCCAGGAAAGTGAGACCCTGAAATAGATCCTGATGGGATCATTTGTGCTCATCTTGAGAAGGGTTTCTGAGAGGCATGGAAAGTGAGGTGATGCAGAGGGATACATGCAGTTTGGTTGGCAGGAGGATGACCTGAAGGTAAATGAGCTCTATATAAGATGGAAAGACAGGGTTATTTATAACCTGAGAGGGTCTTTATTTGCTGGATGAGTTCTATGGTCCCCCAGAGATGGGATTCTGTGGGTCCCTGAGATACAAGGTTCAGGGTCAGAAGTGAGATCAGGATCAATAAAGGCAGAGTCAGAGAAGAAAGATGCTGGTAGAGCCTGGATGATGTCAGAAGGGGCAAAGTCTGGGCCCAGGCAGAGCTGCTGGCAGTGGCAGGTGAGAAGAGGAAAGGTCAAAGGGAGCAAAAAAAAAAAAGGAAAGAAAATGAAAAGAAAGAAAAAAAGGGAATTCCTTGGTGGTCCAGTGGTTAGGACTCTGCACTTGCACTGCCGAGGGCCTGAGTTCAATCCCTGATCAGGGAACTAAGATCCTGCAAGCTGCAGTGCGGCGTGGCCACAAAAAAAAAAAAGAAAAGAAAAAAATTTTTTTAAAAGTTGGGTACTCAGCTAACAGTCTGAGGGCAGAGGGTTGGACTAGAACTTAGTTTCTATCTATAAGTTTAATTCTTTGGAAGGCAGAAGGGAAAGAAAGAGACAATGGGGGGAAAAGAACATTTTTTTCTCTTCTTCCCCATTCTTTCAACGAATATTTCCAGTATGTCTCCCTTTAGGGCTCTTTCTGATTATCTTAGTAAAACAAACTCAAGACAAACAATCCTTCACAGCTTCATATTCTTTTAAAGGACAGGTAGGGCTTAAGTAATTGAAAAAAGTTAACAAACATATAAGAAACGAGCTAGTAAGTGGTGTATGTTACAGACTCGAGCCCAGGTTACACCTCTGCACGGGTGTGTTTGGTCTCTATTGCAGACGGCACCACAGAAGGATACAGGGTGGACTGTCCTCCAGATTCTTCCTCATGGCATCCTTCATTGCTTTCCGTGCAGTGAATGAGACAGCCAGGTGCTCATCTACTGGCACCATTGGCAAGGCAGTGAAATTGATGACATCCATCTTCCTGAAGTCAGCCATTGTCCAGTTTCTTGTAAACTGACAAACAGTAAGTTTCCACTTTTAAGAGCCTCTCATTCCTCACTACAATCTTGTTCTCTGTTCCACCAGCCTCCTGGGAATCACAAATAGCATACAACCATCTTAGAAAGCACAACCATGCTCATCTTGTAAGCAGGGCTGATAAGGAGGCACATGCTGCATGTTAATGGGGAATAAAGGCTTTTGTCTGAGAAGCCCATTTTCAAAAAATTTTTATTGGAGTATAGCTGATTTACAATGTTGTATTAGTTTCTGCTGTACAGCAAAGTGAATCCGTTATACATATACATATATCCATTCTTTTTAGATACTTTTCCCATATAGGTCATTACAGAGTATTGAGTAGAGTTCCCTGTGCTATACAGTAGGTCCTTATTAGTTATCTATTTTATATATAGTAGTGTGTATATGTCATTCCCAATCTCCCAATTTATCCCTCCCCTGCCCCTTTCCCCCTTGGTAATCATAAGTTTGTTTTCTACATCTGTGACTGTATTTCTGTTTTGTAAATAAGTTCATTTGTACCATATTTTTAGATTCCACATATAAGTGATATCATACGGTATTTGTTTTTCTCTTGTCTGACTTACTTCACTCAGTATGACAATCTCTAGGTCCTCCCATGTTGCTGCAGACGGCGTTATTTCATTCTTTTTTATGGCTGGGTAATGTTCCATTGTATATATGTACCACATGAGAAGCCCACATGTGTACATTGTATATAGGTACCACATTCTTAACAGAGAACTTCAAGGCATATATACTTTTGCTTTCTACCTGCTGATCCCCACCACCCCCTGATAAGAATTATTCTGGTTTTAAAAATAAGGCGACTAGGGGATTCCTGGTGGTCCAGTGGTTAGGACTCGGCGCTCTCACTGCCAGGGGCCCGGGTTCCATCCCTGGTTGGGGAACTAAGATCCCGTAAGCCACATGGTGTGGCCAAATAAATAAATAAATAAAAATAAGAAGACTAGACTGTTGAAAAGACAGGGCTCCAGACCATCCAGCAAGCCAGTTTCCAAGTTAGAAATGCAGTCAAATCTCTTTGGCTCTCTGAGCCTCACCTGTAAAGTCAGAGATTTGGATTAGGTCCCTAAGCCCCTTTTCAGCCCTCAGATGCTGGGCATCTATGATACTGGGTCCATCTACTCAGCATGAGGCTCCTAATCTAGCTGAGGCTTTCTGCTCCCTTTCAGGAAACTGGCCCCACACTACTTTTCCTCCTGGATTTGGAATATTCTGGCCACAGTGCTCTCCTGGGTCCTTGCTTATTGGCCAGGAGGAGTTCATCACTACCATCTCTGGGTCCTCCCTGTCCAGAGCCTGGTGGTATAGGCCTGGTTATAATGAAGTAAAAGACTCAGACCTGCCCTCAAGAAGCTCATACATAATGAAAAGAGAGAAAAGGTATAGTTTGATGGAAAACTTAACCGAGGTGTCCTTTCACAACAGCCTCCTTTCTTCTCCTTTGGTTCACGCCTTCTGCTCTGCTGTCTTCTCCCCAGCCATCCATCCTACATGCCTGCCCCACCGAACTTCTTCCTGGTCCCTGCCATGGTGTGTGCTTTGTGCCTCTATGCCTTTGTACATGCAATTCCCTCCTTTCAATCAGTGCAGGTGATATGTCTTTTTGGAAAACCTTCTTGAATTACTCCAGGCCATTAGTACCACCCCTTTTCTGTGAAGTCCAGGATTCTGCTTTCAACTCTCTATTACAGCACTTACAATACAGAACCAGAATTTATTTGCTTCTACGTCTTTCTCCATTAGGCAAATTACTCTCTAGGAATTAGGTTCACTCAATATTTGATTCCATTTTTAACTTACTCACCACACTTCTTTCTGGTCCAAAGAGGCTATCCATTTTGGGCTGTCCTAAGTCAGTTGGATTGTAGGAAAGGTTGGCCCAGGCTCAGGTCAAAACTATTATTTCCTGCCTCCTGCCCCTAGTCTTTAGCCATACAGGCAAGGGGGCGAGGGTAAAGAGGAGGCAGGTGCATTTTAGGGCTTCTCACTTTTATCCACCCACCCACCCACCGCCGCCAGCATGACTGGAAAACTCCATGTTCTCTGAAAAGCCAGGCTTAGGGGGACCCTGTTAAGAAGCCTCTTGCTTTAGCTTAACATTATTACCCATGCCTAATGGGAGAATTGAATATTATGCTTGTTAAAAGACACATTTAAAATACTCTGTTCACATCTGAGATTTTCATATCATTTTAGGATAAGTATTCTCTGAAGCATGATAAGTTTTCACTGTCACTATCTGGGGAGAAAAAATGGGTGGGGGAGCAAACTAACTTTATTGAATAACCACCCTGTGCCCAGCACTGTGCTGTATATTAGGGGCAGGTGAGTGGAAGAATAAAAAAGGTTCTGCCCTCATGGAGCACATATTCTGGCAGCTGAGATTTGAAAGTCTCTTGTTTAAGGTTAACACATTTTAACTTAAACATGTTAAACAAGTTAAAACAATGCTGACTTTGGAGTCAGACAGACTTTTGTTCAATTTATACTTCAGTCATTAAATGACTACTTACTGACTGCCCAACACAGCCAGCAATGTGTCCCTACTTGGGGACAGGTTGGTGAGCTAAACCAGACTTTATCCCTGCCTTAATGGAGCTTATGTCTACTAGGGGTGACAAGTGATAATTAATTATATATATATAACCATGAATTATAACTGACCACTGCTTCAAAGGGAGGGACATAGTGCTGTGAGAGACAATAGTGGATAATGACCTAGTCAAGGGGTGACAAGTGATAATTAATTATATACATAACCATGAATTATAACTGACCACTGCTTCAAAGGGAGGGACACAGTGCTCTGAGAGACAACATAATAGTGGATAATGACCTAGTCAAGGGAGTCACGACTTGAAGGAAGAGCAAGAGTTAATTAGATAAGTGGGGAGGGGAAATACCACCCAAGCAGAGGGACACACAGTAGAAAGACAGGAAAAGACTAGAGCGGTGCATCACAGTAGCCAGTAGCCACATGTGACAATTGAGCCCTTGGAATTTGGTTAGTGTAACCAAAACACTAAAATCTTAATTTTAGTTAATTAAAATTTAAAAACTGAAGCAGAATAAACTTTAAAATATTGATTGTATGTTGAAATGATCATATTTGGGACATATGAGTTAAAACATTAGTCATATTAACATCACCTGATTTTTTTTTACTTTTTAAAAAATATGGCTACTAGAAAATTCTAAATTATATATGTGGCCCACATTATGTTTCCATTGGACTGTGCTGGGTTAGACTATGTGGTTTGGTTCTAGGACACGGAACTCTCCCATTTTCAGTGAAGTAACGTGTAGTTGGAAGAAAACTGCACTTGGAGCCAGAGCCCTATGGGTCCTGCCCCTCACTGGATGGATGACCCGGTGCACTCACTAAGCAGCCAGTAAATCTCCCTTGAATGACCCGGAGTCTCTTCATTTGTCAAATGGAAACAGTAATACACACAGTTAGGATTTTAGGAGATCTGGAGTTGATTCTCGAGTAGCTCTCTGCCCCTTGCTCACTGTGCGACCCTGAAGCGGCCCCTGACCTCAGGTTCCCCTGCCCGTCAAAGCCGATGAGAGGCCTGGCGTGGGGAGGCTGGCAGGCAGGGTCACTGTCTGTCTGTTCATCTTACCTGAACGTCGGAATCCGACGAACTCGGGGCCTATTCCGCCACGGTTCCCTCAGGGAACCCTGTAAAGTTCTGGATGGGACACCCGACACCCGTGTCCCCACAACCACCAGGAAGGGGTGCGCTTTGTTTTGTGGTCTGGGAGGAGGAAGAGGAGGAGGGACGTCGGGGAGAGGCCCATTTTGCGTTTGTAAGTCCTGACGTTCTCCAGGCAACGCGGGCCGCAGCCACCACTCGCACCTTTCCCAAGACAACGGGGGCGTGGCGAGCCTCCACCTCATCCGCGAGACGCCGTTACCACGGCGACGGCCCCTGTAGGCCGGGGAGACCAGACCCAGGGGTTTGTGGGGAGGCTGAGTGTGGTTCCTCGTCCTAGCCTATAGCACGGGGCATGGAAGTGACTCCAGAAGACACTGCCTTTGTGGATTCCATCAAATATATCAGGAGTAGTCCTCAAGAGTTTCTGGTGCTTTGCGTAGGCTCGCGCTGGGGACCGTGCCGTGCCGGGCACCCCCACCTCCCTCGGTGGTAGAGCCCGGCGGGGCTGCGTGTGCGCGTGCGCGCGGCTCGTGGACGGGAGGCGCCCGCTGTCGAGGTCCCGGCGGGGGACGCGGCATTTGCTGGGTATCTAGCGGGAGGTCGGGGGTTTCTCTTGGAACCTAAGCTTCTGGGGCACGTCAGGTACGTCTCCGAGCCCGGCGTCGCCCGAGGGCCCGAGGAGGGTTAGAACTCCCGGGCGTTCCCCAGGGGACCCCAGGGCCTCTCCGCAGCTGGGGCAGCCGGAGGGCGCGGAGCAGGGGTCTGGGGCCGGGTTTACCGCAGGACCGTCACCTCCTTTATCCAAGTGTGTTTCCTCGTTTGTAAATTGGGGTGGTAATTCCTCTCATAAGTCAGCTGTGAAGGTGATTAACGAGAGTGTGCGAACGAAAGTTTGTTCGCTACCGTTAGTTTACAGCCCTGGGTGGGCGTGTACCTGCGTGGCTTATACTTGGTTGGCTCTGAATTCTTTGAGAATCCGATGAAAGCCAGAGACTGCTTCCTCACCTTCTTGTTAGATTAAAATAAGATAATGTATTTTATGGCCCATTGCAAACTGTAAAGCGTTGCACAGTGTTGAAGTGATTATTATCATCAGCGCAGAGGAGTAGACCTCATTTGAAGCCCAGTTCCAGCGCCTTCCCACAGCGTGACTGGGAACAAGTTACTTAACTTCTCTAAGCCTCAGTTTTCTGATCTGTAGACAGGAACAAACTACTTGATTTACTTCTGCCAGGGTTGTTGTGAGCATCAAATGCCACAGTTTTTTAAAAACACTAGAGCACAAAA